GTCAAACAGAGTCTAATAGTCATTAAAACCACCTGAAGTATTCATTGTACTGATCAGATTTTCAATACAACGTCGTCATTACTCAAGCCGAACGCGAAACCGGCGACAAGGATCTTAGAACCGTCCAATTTACTGAAGAACGAGACATTACTATTGCTACATTATTATTGATTAACAAGATTATGATAAAGTTCACCCCATCAAATGTAATCAGTTTACAGCCATTTGCTTCCAATATTTTTTTTTCTTTGTGGCTGGACGGGACCTTAACCTAAAGAACAACAAAACGTCATTATAATTATTGACTTTACTCTTTCAATAATGTTCAGTTTTAGACAGTTCAGAATAAGACAATTCAGTTAGGGAAGATTCTTAAGATTTGGCTTTGTTTTTTAAGGGGTTGAAAAAACTTGACTTCCCAATTCGATTTCTGCGGGATTGATTGTAAACATTATACCTTGATTGCATTATCAGTAGTATACATTAAAGCAATGGTTCACTCTATCAAAACAAGTCAAAACGAAGCTACTCCCTCAAGACACTCCTTCTTGGTGTTCTCTCTCGCTCCACACTTGTCCTTCACGGCATAGTTTGTTCTCGTTCCTTAGTTTGCATTCAGAAAAATCAAAGAAATAATAAATTTAAGATTTATAAACGAAACCGAGCGTTTTCTATTGCTTCTCAGTAACGATTCTACAGCCCAAATCTTTTGCCACCAGTTTGCCTTCAGATACGCTAATGTAACATTTACTTGGTAGTGCAAGACGTACCTTGTCTAAAATATTAGAACTATTTGTGGTGTTTACGACAGATGTTAGGTTCAGAAGAACTTCTTTCGATGAAAAATGTGGTAGCCATCGATGTGATTTCACGTTTAACCTGATATCTAACTGGTGGTTTGTGTCTTGCCGTTGCGGATGCTGCATGAATCGGTTGAATTCTTCAGGTTGTGAACATCATTTTTCTGGGGGGAGGTTGGAAAAATAACTTAGAGAACACAGAAACCCCAGCCACTCTAAGATAATGAAAAGAAAAAGGAAATAAATGAAAAAGAAAACAGTTATTAGAGGCGATGGGAGCTTCACTCAGCGGAACCTCAATGCTGTTCACAAGAGTTTTTTTCCGCCACAGCGCGAGATTAAGAAAGTATATCCTCTTTCCGAGACATGTAGCTGCCATTCTAAATCTTAAAAATTAGAAGGAGAGCTTTATTCCAATCCTGATACCACTTCTAAAGCGATAGATATAGGTATTTTATTTTTGTAGAATCAGTTCTCGTTTTCCTTTGGCCTTTCTTGGGATCATTATTTCTTGGTACTTCTGTCCGTTGTGGTACTCCTGCTGAGTCAGCCCCTGTTTGATACATATTATTTTGCATGGAGTTCAGCAAATGGTGCACTATTACTTGCAATAGGAGGGGTACAAACGACAAAGACTTGTTTGAAGAGTTTTTCACTTACTTAGATCCGAATAAAATATTTCGACCCTTAAGTGTTCAAGTGTTTACTCAACCTTTCAATGCCTCTCCATCACACTTCCATCCTATTTACCAACTTACTTGAGAGGTTCATGACATGCGTTGTTAGAGCCTGTGAGTGACGCAGCTTCCCTAAAGAGATGGCACACTGCGGTTATCAAATCTATTCGCTCTTCCTGTGTAAGAAAAATGTATGAAATCAGTAATTGGCCTTGATTGAAATGAAAAATTAGTACAGTGATATCATCTTCACGCAGTTGGCTCACCAAATTAAAGGAGCTTTTAGTCTTACAGAAGTCTGAGGTGGATGTGGGAGGCGCGTGCTCGTCAGCCACGAGAATGTCCTGCATTGAAAGAAAGGAAATTAAAATGACTGAAGGGGAAAACACCCCCCAAAAAAAAAACTGATGGTGTGTTTAGGGTAAATATATGTGAGAAGGGCATGTAAAAGTTAACATTTCGGCCAAAGAATATTATCATATAGGTAAGTTTGACTAGATTGTCACAACATGAATCGGAAAGAACCCTTAGTTTCCATTTACTGATGAATGACTCGCCTTATCAGGAGCGTGGGACACACAGAAAGTCCGAAACGTTATAGAGAGTGTCACATGGGGACCTAGTTAAGGCTTAATTCATTAGAGAGTGTTATTCCATTGCCAAGCTCAAAATCTACCTCCAATGCCATTTAATTGGAGAGTTGACTTTTTAAGATTCAACCGTTGTGTAAAAGAGAGGTTTCTGTACCTGACAGAAGGTCATCGTGATATTAGCGTTCTTCGAAGTGATCGGTGTTAATAACGTTTTTACGGCTTGGACGAGATTGCTGTAGATCTCGAAGAAAAACTCTGTTGTTTTGAATCAATCAATCAATCAATCAATCCTTTATTTAAACACGTGACACCTAGGAGTACAGAAGTTCTCGTTAAAACGTGTACGTGTATGTACAATTAGAAATAAAACATAATTTCTGTAAGAATACAAATAATAAGTAGATCTATTAAATAACTAAAAACAGGATCGAAGATCATGGACAAGAGCTATCAATAAAAAGTTACAAAACGCCCTATTGAAGCAGAAAGCTCTCGTGAAATGCCGAGAAAGTTTGTGATGCTAACCTCCTTAATCTGAAAACCAAACAGCATAGTGACAACTTTTAATAAAACAAAGAAAAGATCTTAAGATATAGTCTATTCCTACCATCTTCTTCCTACTTTGTAAAGTTAAATCGCGTGAAAGATCATATTAACTGCAGAAATACAGTCGTTCTGCTCGTTTGTTTGTTTCTAATTACTTGTTAGTTACGCAGTA